GGAAGGAAGGAAGGAAGGAAGAAAGAAAGAAAGAAAGAAAGAAAGAAAGAAAGAAAGAAAGAAAGAAAGAAAGAAAGAAAGAAATCCTGGATGAACCAGAACAAGTTTTGATCACCCTTTCAAAACCACTTACTTCTTGGGGATGTTTATTATGCAGCATCACCTGGACAAAGCTGACTGATACATCCTCCCTTTGCAAAGGAAGAAACCAAAGTCTGAAGAATCAAGAGAAGAGATGAAGGCAGGGGCTGGGATGTGGCTCAAGCGGCAGCATGCTCATCTGGCGTGCGTGCGGCCCAGGTTCAATCCTCAGCACCACATATAAACAAAGATGTTGTGTCCGCTGAAAACTAAAAAATATGTATTAAAAAATTTCTCTCTCTTTCAACAAAAAAGAGAGAGATGAAGGCAGAGTGAGCATGATGGCAGGTTGGAGGTTTGGAGGTTAAGTGAGTCCAGTTTGTTCCCTGTCTCTGTTGCTTGCTACCTCAAGCAAGTGTCACGTATTTGTTCCTGGGAAAGCAGGACAGAAGACCTTGGGTGCAATGGGCAGGATGTTGAGTAGGAGGTGCTCTTGGGACCAACACTTGGAAAGGAGAAGAGAAGGAAGTCGAGTCAAGCAGAGGGAGAGATTAGGCAGCCCTGAAGAAGGTGCCACAAAAGTCTCAGCGGACCCCATGGAGAGCTCTGGAATTCGGACAGTCCTTCAAAGCTTCCTCAAATCAAGGCAGGGGGTCAGGCCCTTGTCCTCTTTCTTCCCTCCATCAGTGGAAGGGAGTGACTGTGGGTGAGAGGGTCTTCCTGGGCTGGGCATGCCCAGTGAGAACTCCTCAGACTGCAGAGCAGACCCTACCTGCGCACCACAGAATCCACTGTGGCAAGTCCCTGAAACACTCTGAGTTCTCCTCACCTGCAAAATGGGACAGACAGTGCAGATTGCTCAAGCTATCCAGGGACAGATGAGCTCAACCCTGTAAAAGGCTCAAAACTGTATCTGACGCACCACAAGCTCCTTCTTGTAACAATCACTATGGATTCTAAATTTATGGTGCCCTATAAATGCCACCATCTCCTTTCTGGCCTCTTTGCTTCTGCACCCCTTCTTTCCTTTGTAGCAGCCAGAGGGAGCTCTCAAAGAAGGCAGACATTCTTAGTCACTCCTGTGCTCTAAATCACCCCATAGCTCCCTAGTTCTTTCTAGACAAAGGCCAAGTTCCTTCCAAAGCCCCTGCTAATCTTGCCTCCTCTGTTCTCCATCCTTCCAGCCTGTGGCCAGCTACCTTTCATCTCTTTCTGTGAAGCCAGATGCCTCCAAGCTTAGGCCCATGACCTCCAGCCACCTGGAATGCCGTCCCCTGCCTTGCCCTCCCATGGTGGACTCCGGCTTCTTTCCCAAGACTCAGCTCGGGCTCTGCCTCCTGTAGGACACCTGCCTTGGCCTCCTGCTGGGCAGACTCCTCCCCCAGGTCCCCACAGCCTTCCGGGCTTGCTCCAGCCTGGATTCTGATGGTCCACTGGTGAGAATGTCTTTTCCGCTAAGCCCGGAGTTTCACGAAGCTGCGGCTGTGGAGTATGTTTGGGATTCCTGGATTTTCTTTTGGAAAGCTCTGGATTCCCACTTCATCTCAGGGCCTGACACACAGTAGGTGATCAGTAAACGCTCACTGGATGAGCGCATCTTCTGCCCAGCACTTTATAGGATAAACGTGGGAACTGGGAATCGTCTCCCCACACCTCCATGGAACCTACCTAGAGATCCAGTTTGAAACCCCTGAAAATTGGCTGCAACTTTCCTAAACCCGAGGCCTGTCTCTGCATAGAGATGAAGGTGCCCGGAAACGGGGCGGACAGCTCCCACCGTCCTTGGCAATGGCCTGGGGTTTAAATAAGCATTTTCCTAACTGCAGACTGGGCTGCATGCTCAGAGGACTTGGAAGCAAGAAGAACCCGCTTTTATCACCCCTCCTGGTCCTTGCTGCCTACATCTATCACCCTGGGAGAGACACCTCCCCACTCAGAACCTCAGACTCTTCCTCTGTCAAGTCAAGCTCTGAAGACCCGGACCTCCCTGTGCAAACACACAAACAAAACAAGCACACGGTTGCTGCAGCTCTTTGGCCCATCCGGCAGTGACTCCTGATGCCGCTGGAAATGTCTTAGTGGTTCCCTGGAGAAGGGCTCACCTGGGCTCAACGCCAGCACCACGGCGCCATCTTGCTGCCTTGGGGCATCTGCTGGGCGCCCTCTGCAGGCGGGAACACTCTCACCCCTGGGTGGTCCTGGCCTTTGGCTGCCGTCTCCCCCTCCCATCTTCCCCTCTTGGTACCCAGGAGAGCAGATGCTCCCTGTGTGTGACAGTGCTAGGTATACAGTTGGCACACAAAACACGGCATGATGTACATTTTTTGGCACTGGGGATCGAATCCACGGATGCTCCTACCACTGAGCCACATCCCCAGCCCTTTTTATTTAAAGACAAGATCTGGCTGAGTGGCTGAGCTGCTGACGCCGCTGGCTTTGAATTTGTGATCCTCCTGCCTCAGCCTCCTGAGCCACTGGGACTACAGGCGTGCACCCCGTCCCCAGCTCGTGATGTATATTAATTAGAGACCTAATAGGGGTTGAGTCGTCTCCACAAAAAAAGCTGTTGACATGCTCAGCCCCGGGTCCCACAAATGGGACTTTATCTGGAAATCGGATTTTTTGCAGACAATCAACGCGGTCACTAGGGGGTCGCAAGAGGAGGGCGTCTTTATACAGAAGGAGGTTTGGTCACAGCAGGCAGGGAG